ATTATTATTATGTGGCTGAAGCCAAACACTTCAGCTGGATAAGATCTGTGAATCAATTAGCTACTAATAAATGGTCTCCCTTTGTTTCTGATTGTTCCATAGCAATCTGAAACTGGGGAAGACGACTATCCAGGGCGCACATCCAAGGTGGCAATCGTGCTCATCTCACTAATTTAGTTGCCAATAGCTGATTTAACCAAGGAACTCCTAAAGCTGTTTCTATATTACAGCTAATTTACAGCAAGTGTTAAACACCCAAACAGAGCACGCAAGGGGGCCTAGAGGAAACTCCCTTGTGCTTTATCGTTCCTTACAACAACGGTAATGAACACTTCACCTCTCAGAGGAGAAGGTCTCTCAGTAGGGATACCATAACAGCTCCCCCCGGTGCCACTTATGTTGACAAGCTAAGTACCCAGTACATAACAAAGGCCAATACTGCTAAATACACACTGCTGGAAAACATACCAAGCGATTAGGATATTTAATCCAAAGGAGACTTTAATCACAAGCCGCAGCCCCACACTTGTTGACCGAAAATGAGCGTCTGCCAAGTGAGCTCAGCCCTTTTCAAAAAGTATTTAACCTACATGCTGTAGGGGGAATTTCAAAGACCGTCAGTTCCTTCCAGGAAGGTCCAGTACGAAACGCCCGGCCACTTCCAGCGCAAGGCGCACGCGTCTGCCACGGCACTGGGCCGAAGCCTCCAGTCACCACAGAAGGCTGCGAGATATTTTTAACGACAGCTCAACCTGCTGTTTTTTCACTGCTCGGCCCTCTCGGGGGGGAATTACTGTCATTTTCATGGAAAAACGCAGAACTGGAAGAGAGATTTTAGACGTAAAAAAAAGGAATTGTTGGGTTTTTTGAACTGGCCGGAACTTCAGGGTTTGGGGTTTAGGGGGGTTGTTTCTTTTTTTGATCCTCTTGGAGAAAAAGGTGTAGGTTTCAGGTGAAAAGGGAAAATTGATTTGTGTGAAAGGGTTTAATACCCCACAAATTCAGCCTTTGTATCTTCAATACAACTGACTCTTCGAAACTCAGACATGCAGTACTGCACTACAGCATCCCAGCAGTCAAACTGACTTTATTGGTTTAAGTATGGTAAACGTAAAGTCAATGACTTTTGCTACCTCACTTCTCTTTGACAACCCTGTTACGGAACACCGTAATCTTGTTTCAGAACAAAGGGAGTTTATCTGAAACCATACACAGGATTCCCTGCACTCCAGTGTCTTAAATGGTTCCACTGTGCAGGAGCACCAAGAGAGATCCATCTCTACCCCCACTTGAACAACTCATCTCCCATTAAAAAAAAAAATCCTATAGCACGATCTCGGTCATTCCAGTGCACGATGCACATGGCCCAAGCCGAAACCTGTAGGCAGGGAACCCCAGTCTCCAGTTTACTGGATGTAGAAAACCCAGCTCCAGAAAGGAAACTGTACAGTTAAAAACCTTTAAGCTGAGCTTGCAAGCACCAAAGCGCTTGACAATAGCACATATGGCTTTGTACTGTTAAGACCTCAGCAGACTGCACTGAAGGCAGCACAATTGGACTGGTAGAACTGATTGAGCATGATGACTCATTGCAAATCCAAGCAGATACAACTTCAAAACATTATCTGGTTTGTCCTGGGACACCACATGTGATTAGTTTTAGTGTGTAGCCCAGTAGCCCACTGTGAGGCCTGAGCCACATTGACACAGACCTGTCCAGTCAGCTCCGACTGGGCAACCTGTCAGTGTCGTAAGAAAGATGACAAACAAGATCAGGGCATCCGGCCCCCCTAGTCTGCGCAGCACCGCGGGGTCATTTTACTGGAGGGGTACGGGGGAGCAGCCCCGTGGAAACAGGGAGAGAGCAGCCCTTAGCAATCTCACAGTCTGAGCTCCTGCTGTCCTGCACATGGGGCTCATCTTAAGATACCCCACCACGAGCCACTGTTTCAAACTTCTGATCACCCTCGGCAGGCTCTGTGCATTTAAACAGCTCTTGAGCTTTTGAACTTGCTTTCACAAAAAGCCATTTCTAAGGTTTATTACTAGAAGGAGAGCAATAAATCCCCTCCTGTAGTTCAAAGGGTTTCAGACATGCTGCTTCCATCATTAAACACCCTGCCCGGAGACTCTGCATACAATTGCATGCTGAGAAACACAGATTCCCTTTTTGTTGAATGTTTCTTTTTTGGCTTACAAAGCCAGTTTCCAAACTAGGTCGGGAAAACAACCTCCGAGAAATGCCAATATTGAGAGCTCAACGATTCATTCCCGGAGCGAGAGAAAGGTGTCGGAGCACGGGACAGCTGCATCAATAAAGACCGTCTTACCTGCTCAGCACCATAGACTGTGGCGAACTGCACAAACTCCTCCATCCGCACAAAGCCATCCCGATCCTGGTCCAGAGCGTCAAACACCGCTCTCAGAGGGGACACGTCCTCCGCCCGCGGGCTGTCCTCCCGGTAAGAAACGCTGCCCCCTGCAGGCAGGGAGGGAGAGAGCTCCACGTCCAATACCGAAAACTCTTCCGCGGGCTGACTGCTAGTCCGCAACAAGAGGGGGCCGGACACAAGGGATTCCTCGGCGGGAACGTGAAGACCGTTCTGTTCGAGGTCAATTATATCCTTGGGAGCACCCAGGTCCGCCTCCGACTCTGTACTCTTCCCACCCTGAGCCAAAACTGGAGATCCGCACAATACTCCCTCGGTGAGCTGTGGTTCCAAAATGTCTTTCTCCTGCATTGCAACGGCAGGTAAACATGGTTCCGAAACCACATCTTTGTGCTCTTGACCACAAGATCCTGAACCCTGACCCGAGCCCAGCTGGCCGGGCACTAAATCCCTTGATGACTTCCAATCCGAGGCCGGGTCATTATCCGGGCCGTCGGAGTCCGACACAGCTCCAGATACAGGCGACGGTGGGCGACCAGCTGGTTCTGAAGACTGAGAGGGTAGTGCAGGCTGTGGAAACACCCTGTTCCCCGGGTCTTCCCGGGAGGAAGAGGCAGTTAAAGTCTCCGCTGAGGCATCCTGCTCTGGGGTCCCAGCAGGCAGACTCGGGCTCACAGTTTCGCTCCGCAGAACATGATCCACAGGGCTGGGGCAGCTCTCGTGATCAGGGCCTGAAAGGCCTGCACTTTCCTGTGATCCACTGCACCCTGACTGCGAGGGGGGGCTCTCGCAGCCCTCAGGTAAGCCCTCCGGCAGCTCGTGACTCAATGCGGGCAGATCCATCTCCGGCTCGTGGAAGGAACTTCTGCCCTCGGTTTCAGGTAACAGCGTGTCCTCCGGTGACGAGGATTCAGAGCCGTCGTCGTCTTGCGACAGCGGAGGCGGCTCCCTGCCGCCATCCACCAGATCTAGCCGGCGGGGCTGAAAGGGGCTGGACTCTGGAGAGAAATCCGGCTCGGAGTTCAAAGCGCGGATTCCCCTCACCGCTAAAGCAGGACTGCCACTGAAACCAGTGTGATCCGTGGCGGGGCTGCCCTGGAAGCTGACCAGCTCCACTGCCCGGTTGTGGTTAAAATCCGTGCCCTGCCTGGGATTTTTTTCCCACTGCAGTACAGTGCAGTCACGGCCTTTCTCCCAGGACAAGATCTGGTCCACACTAGGATACCCTGAGCTCCTAAGAAGGTCATCTAGATTTAAGGCATTCTCCTGAAGGATCTCATCCAGATTCAGGGACACCAGTTTCTCCTCCCCTGCTCTGTAATCCAACCCCGGCTCCGGACTCTCTTTGCTCCCCTTGGACAAACTAACTCCCTTGTCCGGCTCCAGTAAGAGAAATCCCAGCGACTGTTTCTGCTCCAGCTCCCAGTCGGAACGCCCAGCCGGGCTAGACAGCAGCACTTGCTCCATTGAAGCGCTTTTTAAACACTACCTGAAAATCCTAAAGGCAAGACAAGCAGCCCTAAGAACTGAAACAAAGGCAGAAAAAAACAAAAACAAGAATCCGGAAAGAATTCGCAAAGGTTTCCCTTGCGGACGACCAAAAGCAAGCCAGCGGCTTATTGTTCAACACAAGCACACCCTTCAGCAGATCCAAAGGCATCTCAGAGATACAGTAAGTAAACACTTTTAAATCCACGGACCGGCGTGTTAGTAAGGCATTAGTACCAACACCAACACCTGCAGGGCTGAGCTCTTGCAGCCACTGTCCCTATGTCCACTCCGCTGCCTGAACTGCAACCTTCACAAGCACGGCCATTCTTGGCAGACGGGGGATATTTATTGCTAGGTTTCATTCACCCACTTTCCTCTGAAACAACTCATTTTTTCCCCCCAGCACGAAGCGCTGTGGGTCTTTCCTCGGTAGGACCTGTTAGGTTTCTGCCTGCTCCCCAAAAAATTCCGGGCTGGAAATATGTCGGTTGTATCTCCGCTTTGAAATGGTCTGCGGGCCGCTCTTGGGGGAGAAAGAAAGAAAAAAAAAAGAAGAAGCGTTTTCCGACGAGGTGAAGTTAATTCCGTCCAGGCCCCGCGTTCGCCTCCTTCCCAAAAAAAGGCTCTTTTCTTCCCCCGGCTCGTTTCATACTCCTCCTCGGGCCCTCGTTTCCCCTCGGCGTTTTCACTCGGCCAAACCTTCACAACTGCAGCAGGGGAAAAAAAAAAAATCAAGAGAAAAAAAATAGGGGTGAACAGAGAGCGTGAAACACCGCCGGTGTGTGCGTGTCTGTCGGGTTGGGTATAAATATTTGATGGATGTTGTAAAACTGTTCCTCGCAGTTGCTAGGCACCGCTGTAACCCGACGGGACGGCGAATCTCCCCTCCCCTCCCCTCCAGCGGAGCTCGGCGCTCCGCGTTAGCCCAAGTTATTTCTCGCGTTTTGAACTGATTCGCCTCGTCGTTTCATTCGGCTTTCACAACCAGATCCTCAGCGGCTCCCCGAAACGCGACCGCCGGGGCAGCGCAGCGCCGCGCCGCGTCTGTCCTCCCCCGAAAGGCGCCTGCCGGTAGGGGGGCTGTGAAACAAGATTTTCCGTTGGCGTCTCCCCGGTGAAAGAGCATCCCTCACTCGCCCGTCTCGGCGACGACTCTCACGGAAAGCCGGCTCCTTCTCGCGTCCCACCCCCCCCCCACCGAGCTCGGCTGGTTTCCTGCGAGAGCTGGTACACGTCCTTCAGCCTGATCCAGGTTTTCCAGCCCCGGATCCCCCTCTCCGTGCGGGGGGGAAAAAGAAATGCGTGAACCCCCCCCACCCCTCTCCACTCAGGCTCGTTTCTCAAGGCTCATCCACCTGCGTGGGCTGGCGGAGCCCCCTTTTTCTGCCCTCACCTCCGTCCTTCGGTCACCCCTGAAAATGACCCGCTTTCAAGGCCATCGAAGCGCTCCTCAGTTCAGATACGCAGGTGTTTCCATTAGGTGCCGCCGGTGACTGATGGCTCCGTGGACTGCCGTCCGTCTCTCTCTCTCTCGCATCAGCAACTGCTCCGCCATCGCCAGCCGCATACAGCACTGACGTCACCGCCCCCACAGCGCGCAGGCGCAGCGAGCACGCCGCAGTCTGTCGACTCAAAAGCGCCCCGGCCCCTACAGTCCATCTCTTAAAGGAAAGGTGTGCGTGGATGTGTGTCTAGTGAGGTATAGACACAGTGGCAGGCATGGGGCAGCGCAGCCCTGGATATACCCAAAGCTGGGCAGATTAGGTAGTTGTCTTTAACTTACTTAAAAGGTTTGACAAAACCGCAACCACCGTGGGTACGAAACTGAGCACGCACTGCGAGGCAGTAATCACTCACGTTATTGTCCACGCCGATCGATCAGTGATTGGCAGCTCCTCGCATTGCGTTTGTCGCCTTGTTTTCAAGCTCATTAAGGCTGAGGTTTCAAAGAAACCAGAAAAGAAGTGTTACGCTGTCAGCCAGTGGGACGTCACTGACCTACAGTATGTACAGGTTCCAGGTTATCGCTCACACGGCTTCTACTGAAACAAAAAAAAGGAAAAAAAAAACATATTTCCTTCATTCTGAAATCCCCTTGCCAGACCACAGGTAGAGAAATCCGACACTTTTTAGCACAGTACTTATATCAGGTAACAGTGTAAATGCATCATACAGTAGTTTCGAACGACCCTTGTTCGCGAGTGTGCGTGGATGCAGGACAGTGGGTTGAGATTTCTCAGCCCCGGCAAGGATCAGATCTCCTGTCGCCTCGGGGAGTGTTTGCAAGTCCAGTTGTACCTCTGGGCGAAACGATGGCTTCACTGGCCCTTCAGAGTCATGTATTTCCCATGGCTTTTTTGGGGTTCCTGGCATGGGGTCTTACGAAAGGTGGACGTTTCTTAGCATACCATACTAAAATGTACAAAAATAACATCCACGGACAGCTGATTTCTTCAGGCCCTGCGTCTGAATAAAACAATCACCTTCAAATCTGGCGAAGCTCAAGCAATATGTTGGCTACACCACTTAAAAATAATCAAATACAATCGATCAATAGGAATTACAACACCGCACTATTGCTTCAGTGAGCTGAAAGAGCGTTTTAATTAACATCTACTGTTTCGCACGCACTATGGCCAGCTAACCCACACTGTGCAAACGCCGAGTTTCTGTGCTCTTTCTCCCTCTTGTGGTTGTGAAAATACTTCCGGGTTTTTTTTTGTTGGTAAGTACAGGACAACCACGAAAGCCATACGGACGAACTCTTGTGAATCCTGACTTCGATGAATAATAATAATAATAAACTTTATTTTATATAGCGCTTTTAAAGGTGGGTTCTCAAAGCGCTTTACAGGATGACAACAACAATAAATAAGACGAATACACAAGATAAATACACAGAGGAGACTGTGGATGGTGGTACTAAGTAAAGTAGGAGAAGAGGGGTGAAGAATGGAACCAGTTCAGTAAAGGCTCTTCAATTACAATATATAGAGGAGGAATGACCGCAAGAGCCAAGAGGCACAGGTCCCAAGATTCCTAACACAGCAGGGTCCGCATACGGATTAATGGCATCAAAAGCTAGTTTTTTTTTCTCGTCGAAATTAAAGGAATATTTTAGGGACATCTTTATCACTTCTTAGCTCAGGTAAAAAGCAATCCCTAAACCCAGTTTAAGACAAGAACAAAAAATTAACATTATAAAAAGAGTTCAACATGACCCTCCTGCCCCGGAGACAGCATCCCATTCAGATTTTCATCGCTCACGTTTAAAACTCCCGTAAGCACCTCTTGTGTACTTTTACAGCAATGACTTCTTTTTATTTTAAAACATCGTGGCAAATATATACGGCCTACAAACGGGGAAGCTAATTTCCGTGGTGCAAACTACAAGTATATTGACCCCCCAACAAAACTAGGGAAATGTCCCAAAACAAGTATTAAGATTTCGAGTCACTCACATGGACGTTTTTGTGCAATTTTATTTCAACTTAAATGAGTGTTTAAAAAGTAGCCCTTACCTGCGTCTGCTTTACCTGAAACATTTCCATTCTGTACAGACAAAGAGTCGCTAACACTCCCAGAAGGTTTAACTAGAAGTATCTACAACTCTTTATCTGCTAGCTAAATCTTTGATATCGGCAACCTGTGAGATCACAGGTCGGGGGTCTGAGCAAACTTCCGTTAGCCTTTCCCCTGTACTAATGAGATTCTCCACAGGCAGCGGTACTGGGTCCACAGATTCAACGAGATTCAGACGAACAAAGATGATCCCATTTTTTTAGTTATTTATTGAACTAAATTTACGTACTCTTCCCAAAAGCAGTTCTTAGTGATTATATGATGTATTATATTATACGTTTATAGACGCAGTGAAAGCTCTAAACCTTACTAGAGATAATCTCGACCCTCCCACGGAAAAAAACGGAAAGATACATTTCTGTTGTTAAAACGTTTGCTGAGACGTTTCACGAACGCAATATAAAAGCAGTATGACGCCGTATAAATATGAATTCCTGTCTTCAACCAGCCTCTGCTTCAGTGTTTGAATATGCAAAACACTGACGTCACTTTGAGAAAACGGGATTATTGGTATTTCATTCAAAACAGGACAAAGAAACTCCAAAAAGCTCCAGGAAGCATCGGTTTACCGAAACCCGTTCAATGTAGTCCAACGAGAATTACTTCTTCACGCATCGAAGGGAAACGTTGGTTACTTCATGTAAAATGATAAATTCCCAAGTTACGCTTTCTTTCTCTAATCAGTTTTTAATCATTATGCTTAGAACATAATTTATTGATTTTAATTTGCCTACCCAGTGTTCAGGACTTCTGAAAAAAAAAGGACAAAGACCTGGTTTCATTACTAACAGCACAAGTACTGCCCATCCATTTTTAAACAGTTCTATCCAGGACTGGGTCACAGGTGGACACTGGATTCTATCCCAGCAAGCACCAGGTCCAGGATACACCCCGGACAGGACACCAGGCCACAGCACGGCACACAGACACCGGCAGGTCCAATTTTTCCAATGAACCTCCTGCATTTATGGACTGTAGAATGAAACTGGAGCACCCAAGGGAAACTCCAAGCAGAGAGCACCCCAGGAATATAACGCAGGGCCCCAGTGCTTGGAGGCAGCAATGCTGACCACTGCACTACAATGCCTCCTACATAAGTCATGTCTTGTACTGTAAATTGGTGATGTCTCTGTCCTACCTTTCATGGTAGTTTTAAAGCAGTTCAGGAATATATATATGTCAATAATCATGCGATTCCAAGAGCTGTGGTACTGTAAGTTATTGTGGGAAATATTTACATACTCAGCCCTAAAAACTTGCCCTTGGGGCTCTGAATGGAGACACGCAGTGTCTTGCACAGGTGTGAAGTGCCAAATCAGACAAGGACTAGAGTC